GCCCCCGCGGCAGCAGGAAACACACAAGTAACCCGTTTATAATAAATTGCAAAACACTCAGCAAAGCCCCCGCAGCAGCAGACAATCTTTTTTTTTTTTTTTATACAAAATATATTCCGCCTTTTTCTAATAATCTAATATTGAACTTTTTAACACCATGTCTCCCATCCAATTTGAAACCACCTCAGACCCTGCTTAGCTTTGCAAATGTGCCAGCAGTTTTATTGCTGCACCACCAGGAGGACTACAGGAGAACCAGCTAAATTAACAAGCCATAAAGTAAGATACGACCTGCTGGAAGATACGAAGACTCCGCTTCAAGGAAACACAGTAAAGCCACGTGGGGAGGGTTGTAGCACTGAAAGGGAGGCTGCAGGGAGGCTGCAGGGCTCGATCAGCTGGCAGTCGGGGGCGTCGCTGCTAGCTCCCCTGCTGCATGGGGTTTTTTCCAGCGATGAAGGAGCCGGTGGTGAGTCACGCTGCTGAAGCAACCTAAGAGAATAAGCCCCCCGAGGAACCTGAGCGATTTCTGCCCAATAGCCTTGCTAAGCGCAGGAGGAAACTTCTCCTGTGGTGATTTCAGCTCGAGTAAAAAAAAAAAAAAAAAAAAAAGGCAAGCGGCAAAAGAACGTTACGAAAGGCTAAGCTTGCTGGTGCTCCACTAAGGCTTGGAAGAAGGCTCCAGGTTCCACAAGGCTCCGAGGATTCCAGCGAGCGGAAGGATCACCTAAACCAAACCGCGTCGTCTCCAGGGTGAAAAGGGGCAAGCCAGGGCTTCCCCGACCTTAAGTGGCCTTTCTAAGGCCCGCCCTGCCGCCAGCCAATTGGCTGGCGCCACAGGGGATGCTAATTGGGGGAATCTCTGCCTCCCGCGAGGCTGGCGCCAGCCTCGGGAGAGCGAGAGTGGGCGGGGTCGTGATCCCACAACCCCCCCTCCTCCTGACGATCGGAAGGGGCATTATGGCTTAGTAATTCTTTTTTTGTAATAGTTAAAAGTAAATTTCTGTTTAATTATTTAATGATTATCCATTATATTCTAATAGATTATTGAATATTACTTTATTTGATATAAGTTGTTTATTTTAAAGTTGCATTTTTATCATTACTTTTTTGAATCGGATCAGATTGTAATAAGGTGTGTGATCTTTATTTTATATTTTCTTGTTTCTTCAGCTGGTAAACCTTGTTGTGTATTGTAATATAAAAGGCAGCATACAACTTAAAAGGGAAATGAAATGAAATGAAATAATGCATTTGTGTCCACGTGAACATACCAACTTAATGTTCACATAATTGGGTCAGCCTTAGGTGAAATCACTTCAAATATCTTTAAGAATGGGCTGGTTTCTGCCTTTTCTCACTTAGTTGTGAATACTAGTCAACGCCACAATATAAATCTAATCCACTGATAAGAGAGAAAAGAGATGAAGCCCATTTACTATTCAATTGACACTCTTTTAAAAATTCTATTTTAAAGCTGGTTGTCTAATCATAGGAATATTTCATTTTTCAAGCTCCTCAAATCCCCACATCCATTTCATTCCTGGTTTTATTAATGATCAGAAGCAGCTGTATAGCATCTTCCTTAATTTCAGTAGGATTTCCCCTCTGCACAAACACTTGTGTTCTATTTTTTAGAAATTGGAAAGGCAAATTATTATTGCAAGATGCAATTAAATATCAAAACAAGGAGGGAAAGCAGACAACCATCTAATCTCAGACAGTTTCATGTCTATTATGCTGGGCATGCAGCTAGTCCACAATGTACAGTGGCAAACCTAAAAGGTGCGGAAATGTGAAGAAGATTTTTCTAAAAGAGAGAATCTGGAAGAGACGGAACTTGACGTTCACCCATCCCTTGATAAGCTCCACTGAGCACTGTAGGGTATGTGCTTAGAATTGCATTGTTACTCCCAAGTAAATACAAATATAATTGCAAGCTTGAATTTCTAGCACCCTCAAAATTTATACAGATTCCAGAATTAGGGCAATAAATCTGTGCAACGTACAAAGACCAAAGTGTTGCTGGGGATGGAAATTTTAACTACTCCATTGTTTTCTTTTGCACTTGTTTACTTTCTTTGTGGTAGGAAGCTGTTGCTATCAGGATACTTGACAAGATGGTCCACTGATAAAGTAGCAGCAAGGCAAGTGAGTGGATTACTTAAAGCTTCAGTTCAGAACTAGATGAGATCAGCATCTTTCTTTGGCAAACCTGAATTGCATCAAGCACAATCCTTTCTTTAAACAATGTGTAAGCTCTGCAGATTTTAGCTGCTAGCTCTTCTTATTAAGATTCCGTTTATGGTATGCAGTATGTTTTCACAGGTGTCCCAGGCCTGGAATGATAAAAAAATGAATAAGTTTCAAATCCTAGCTTTATGGTCTGTTTCGTGTTGGCCCAGGCTATACTCGAATAATCTTAATAAGATTTACATGTGAGATGCACTAACAGAACTGTACATAAAGGATATTCAGAAGGCAATTGGCAGCTGATAGTGATGATGTTCTTCCTCTACAGCTGGAGACAGTATGCCTCTGAATACCAGATTCCTGGGTATCGCAGGTGGGGATAGGGTGATTGCACTCAGGTCCTGCTCGCAGGCTTCCCATAAACATCTTATGGAACTTGTTAGAACTCATGGAAATCTCTCTCTACTTCTCTTCTTCCCCAACCTTATACTGTCTATAACATTACTGTCTCACATTGAATAGAACTGATCTGTAGAAAAGATACTGCTAATGAAAAGCTGAGGCTCTGAATGTACTTTTGTAATTCAAGAAAATCTTTAATAAAAACAAAACAAACAAAAAAACCTCATGGGCATCCAGAAAAGTTGAATGTTGGAGGATTCAGGAAAGACATGGATAGCCCTAGTTGAACTATGGAAATTGCTCCCACAGGAGGCAGTGATGCACACCAACTTGGATAGTGTGATGGCCTGGGAATCCGATTCAGAGGCTGAACCGGAGGAATCCCAGCCTGCACAGGAGTCCCCGCCTCCAGGGCCGGCTGAACTGGGGCAGGGCCTTGATTCTGAAGCGCCTGCACCTGTGCCAGATCCTCAGGAGCAGGCACCAGGTGAATCCACTCTGGCTCCAGAGGTGGTTGAGGACTCAGTGCCTACAGGTGAGTCTCCCCCTGGGTCCAGTAACCCTTCAGCCTCTCCTGAACTGCAGAGGCTCAGGGCAGAGAGGCGGAGGGAACTGGTTTCTCCCAGGAGGAGTGCTCGCCTTAAGGCCAGGAGAGGCAGGTCTCCTGGGGGCCAGGACTGCCCATGGCCTCAGAGAAGATAAAGGCCAGTCAGCCCGGTCCCAGGTTGCGGGAGCAACGTCGTTGATGAGCTGTTTCGGCCAGCATCCAGTCCTGTTTCCCCCAGTGTTCCTGTCCCTGCCCGGCTTCCTGCTTCGGACCTCACCTCGCTCCTTGTGAACTGTTTCCAGACCAGTGACCCAGGACCGGACTTTGACTACGCCAACGGTAACCTTCCCCCCGGGACCAGCACAGATAGCTTTAAAAGAGGATTAGACAAATTCGTGGAGGTAAAAGCTATCAGTATAGCAATGATGGTTATGGTCTGCCTCCACAATTGGAGACAGTATGCTTCAGTCGCTGGAAGCCTCAGGAGGCGAGAGTGCTCTTGTGCTTGGGTCTTGTTTGTGGTCTTCCCATAGTCTTGGCCACTGTGAGGACAGGAAGTTGGACTAGGTGGGTCACTGGCCTGATTCAGCAGGCTTCTCTTATGTTCTTTTGTTCTGAATACAGCAAGGAAGCATATGTGATGTGATCTGAACATTTCAAAATAGCGGTATAAATTATGTCACTGGGTTTTTAAAAAAAATTAAAATCCCCAACCATTAAGTATGAAATATTTTTGTCATGATTTGGTTCCTGTGACATCTGTCAAAGGATAGCTTAGGAAGAGTTACAACCCACCTGTCATGAGAGAAAATTTATCACAGGAGCTTTTGTTAGCCAGTTCCTTTTATTTTGTAAATTAATAATTTTACTCAAGTCCATTGTAAATCTGTCTAGGGGAAGATCGCTCATTGCTAAGACAAAATGCTTTTTTATAAACTAGGGATGAGGAGCTTCAGCCCCAGGTGCCAAGTACGGACCTCCAGGCATCACTATCCAGCCCTTCGGACTCTCTCCATGTCGCACCCCCAAGACACGCCTTTATCCAGCCCTACTCTGTGTCCAGACTAGAATATACACTTCAGTTGTGATAAGAAGAAATTTGTTCTTATTACAGTGATAGACAGTGGGTCTCCAGGGTTTCAAGATGGAGTTCATCCCTAGGCCTACCTGGAGATGCCAGGGACTGAAGCTGCAAAATTCTGCATGCAAGGCAATTTTGCATGCAACACAGAGCATTTGTTGTTGTTGTTTAGTCGTGTCCGACTCTTCGTGACCCCATGGACCAGAGCACGCCAGGCACTTCTGTCTTCCACTGCCTCCCGCAGTTTAGTCAAACTCATGCTGGTAGCTTCGAGAACACTGTCCAACCATCTCGTCCTCTGTCGTCCCCTTCTCCTTGTGCCCTCCATCTTTCCCAACATCAGATTCTTTTCCAGGGAGTCTTCTCTTCTCATGAGGTGACCAAAGTATTGGAGCCTCAGCTTCACGATCTGTCCTTCCAGTGAGCACTCAGGGCTGATTTCCTTAAGAATGGAGAGGTTTGATCTTCTTGCAGTCCATGGGACTCTCCAGAGTCTCCTCCAGCACCATAATTCAAAAGCATCAATTCTTTGGCGATCAGCATTCTTTATGGTCCAGCTCTCACTTCCATACATCACTACTGGGAAAACCATAGCTTGAACTATACGGACCTTTGTTGGCAAGATGATGTCTCTGCTTTTTAAGATGCTGTCTAGGTTTATCATTGCATCCCTACATACTTATACCAAGTCACATCATTGTCCCATCTAGTTCAGTTGTGCGCATCAGCAAGCAGTAAATCTCCAAGGTCTCAGACCAGGACAGTCCTAGTCCTACCTAGAGACACCAGGGATCGAACCTGGGACCTTCTGCAATGCAAAATAGATGTTCTACCACTGAGCTGTCATTGGGTGTTAGGTGTGATTTCACAGAAGCCCAGTCAAGTGGTTAAGCTCACCACAGGTGACAGCTCTTTAGCAGAGTTGTCTTTACTAGGCCAACACCAACACACACTCTTTACACATACACTATTTATAGATGTTACAAGTTGTTTTCACTCTCAGAGAGGGTTCTTTGCTTCAGTGTCTTTACAAGTCAAGTCCCGAGTTCAGTTGTTTGCAAGGTCCTGCAACTCTTTGCAAGGTCTTCAGTCTTCCACAGTTCCAATTCTTCTCCACAAACTGCTCCAAGCTCTCTGCACTATCCCACAATGAATTCTGGGTTACATGATAATTCTGCCCAGCAGCCCCTATAAGACAGTCACAAGATGCCTCCAGCTGCATTGTGGAAAATGAATCCTCACTATTGACTCATGGAGGATTAACCCATTTTTCACTTTTCTTAACAGCTATGTTCATTATTGGCTTTGTATTGTTTCAATCACAATGAGACGGAAGCTACAAAATCTCAAAATCATTCACTGCCGACTTTCCAAGTTCTTTGGACATCCAGTTCAAAATTACAGTGAGAGGTGCATTTGACCTCTCTATATGGGTGAGCTAATCAGGTGGAAGTTCATTATGTACATAAAGACAACAGATTCCTTGATGGTTCGCCTTCACAGCCTGACCATGGCGTCAGGCCAGTGAAGCACTCAGTGAAATTTTCCATCTGTCTGTCCTTCCATAGCTTGCATGATATACATTATGTAATTGAATGTCAAAGAAGTTTATGTGGCATTTAGACTACTCTAACAAACGCTAGAATGGAAAATTGGTTTGAATAGATGGTCTGTGCAGGACGTGAGCTGGTTCCTCAATTCCCTTGCGTAGTATGCCTTGAGTCCACCTCCAGTGTTTATTATTCCATTGTATTGTAAATTTTCTGTCTGGCACTTTATGAAGCTCAGGCAACTACATTTATCACAAAGGGAACATAAATTATTGCTATTTTATTGTGACTGAGAAAACAGGCTGTAGCTCTGGGTATTTTTGCATTGTTGTTACTTCTTCTTTTTGAACAAAAGGCAGTTAGGAAGCTCTGTGCCTGGAGAAAATGGGAAATCATTACCAGATACAAAAAGTCAGTGGATTCAAGGTTGATATCAGAGGGCTGGCCAAGAAGCCAAAGTGTTTGGAACTTTTTGTTACATCTTCAAAAAGCAGACTTGAAAATGAAAGGGCAAACACTTTTAGAGGGGCAATTGTTTGTTCATTTCATTTCTGAAAAACCTTTCCCACAAATCAGGAACTCAAGATGATTTGTAGGCTATTATCCATCCATCTGCTTGCATTTCTATCCTGCCTCCCCAATGCTCAACAGAGCTTTCAACAAAATAATACTAATAAAGCACAAGTTAAAATAACCATCTAATCTGGAAGAGAGACAAGGCAACTCTGTATGAGCATCACACCTGGATCCCAGAATCAATTCAACAGACCAGCATAAAATAAAACATACAGATAAACTGAACACATAAACCTTAAAACAGGAAAGGGATAAAAACTAACAGTTTAAAGGTGATTATACCATACATAACTTTAAAAGGTAAAAACAAGGACAAATGGTTAAAAGTGACTATAAGAGGGAGCATGAAAGGAGCACAGGCCTTGCATTTGGAACCTTCAATTTAGGCCTAGTTTGTGGCACAAACCATCTTTTGATGAATATCCATCATGGCAATGCAAATCTAACAACCGAGAATGTAACATCTGGGTTTTCATCTGGAAGCAGTAGGGAAGTATTAAGCTGTTCTGTGTGACCTGGAAATTTATTTAGTATAGGCAAGATGAACCTAGCTCATATATCTGTATAGTACTGGCAATAAAAAAAAGACATGTTCTGTTGTTTCCAGTTTTACAATCTGATAAGAGTATTATTTCAGGGTGTGGGGGCAATTTGTACACACAAGATGGTTGGAGAACTACGTCACAACACCTAGGGGGAAAAAATACAAAATTTGAAGGATAGTTGTGCTTCAGATTGTGTATTGGTTCAAAAGTGAAAATTAGAAAGTATCACATTAAAATGCAAACAAAACTATATTTCTTCCCCCACCTCTACCAGTGGTCGATGTTCCTTTAGCAACAACCCCCCAAAAGCATCCTTGTGCAATTTTGCAACATCACTGGATGCTTGCATTTTCTGAAATGTATTTCCCAACCATGCATGGCTGGCTGAGGCTGTATTTGGACTGCCTTAATTGGCACAAAGACATTACTTTAAGTTAAATTGGGGGGGGGGTGTACTTAGCACCACTATCAGGTTTTCCAGAGGCACCCTCTCCCTGTTGCACAATGTATGTGCCACACTATAGTAACTTATAAAGTTAGGCTTATGCTGTTTGAATACAGTGCTTTTGCCCATTTTATATATGTTCATTTTTGATATTTTCTCTTTTTATAGATCCCCAAGGTGGCAAACAAATCAGATTTAACCAGATAACATAAAAATAAATGAAGCATAATACTTGGAAAAGAAGCAGAGGAGTTGAAACAAAACAATCTAGGAGCTAACACCAGGGGCCCCCAGTGGGAGAGTGGGAATCAGGTATTCTGAAAGCCATGAACCACTCTGAATTAAAGAGTTCTGACAAGTCAGTGTGATATACTAGTTAGAACAGGGGTTGCCAACTTTTTGGCCTATGGAAATTGAAAATCAAATAAACTGTATTGGGCCACACTCACTCAAACATAAACACACACACACACACACACACACACACACACACACACACACACACTGCCTCAACTGGTTCCATTAGCTACAATAGAAAGCTTCTTTCAAGCCTAATTTCAATGGGTGGGTGGTGGGGTGGAACTGTGAGTGTCAGGAAAAGCTTCTGTGGACGGGATTGCCTTCTACCTGAAGGAGCATGTTTGTAGTCTAGCAGTCCTTCTAGATCCAACTTTGTCACTGGAGGTCCAGGTAGCTTTTACCAGCCACAACTAGTAGAACAGCTATGACTTTTCCTCGATCAGGAAAGCTTGGTCACAGTAGTTCATGTATTGGCTGGATTATTGCCATGTGTTCTACATGGAGCTTCACTTGCTCTTGATCTGAAAGCTGCTGTTAGTACAAACTGCGGCAGCACAATTGCCGGCAGGAGTCAGACCTTGTCAACATATAACACCTGTGCTTAGAGATCTGCACTGGTTGCCAATTTGCTACTGGGACAAGTTCAAGGTGCTTCATATATTTATGAAGCCCTCAACAACTTGAGACCAGATTACCTGTGATAGCACCTTACCCCGTTTATGTCCACTTGACCACAGAACTGGTCCGTCATAGGTGCCACATTATACTTCTTCCGCATTTGTAATGAAATCAATCTTTTAGTGTGGCAGCAGAGCAGACACACTTTGGTACTTCCTGCCTGTTGACATATATAGTGAAGATGTCTTCACTATGCAGTCATTCCTCGGGTTGAATGTGCTTCAGGTTGAGCACTTTCGGGTTGCGCTCCGCGGCAACCCGGAAGTAACGGAGCGTGTTACTTCTGGGTTGTGCTGCTCGCGCATGCGCAGACGCTCAAAATGATGTCACGCGCATGCGCAGAAGCGACAAAACACAACCCGCGCACGTGCAGACGCGGCATCGCATCTTATGTTCTATTCAGGATGCGAACAAGGCTCCGGAACGTTTGTATTCTTTTTGGTGACTACTAAAAACATTTTTGTTTAGCATGTCTACCTCGGTAATCTGTATCTCGTTTATCACTAATTTAAATTATTATTTGAAGGTTTTTAGTCACTGTTTTATACTGTTTTTACTGATAATTTTATTGTTTTATTCTGTTTGTAAACCCTTTTGAGAGCTTTTCTTTACAATTGAGTGGTTTGTAATTTTGATGAAAAATAATGAAAAATAACAAAACAGTAAAAACAATGTGTATGTGAACAAGCCAATATAAGTAGTGCACACATTTTCAGAAATGCAAATAATCAAAACTTTAAATGGTGTAGCTTATCATTAAGTGCTGTTTTGTTTTTTGTTTTGTTTTTGTCCCCTTTGTAGTCAACACTGTTTTCCACCAGAAAAGTATCCCATAACTAGCATATCTAAAGCTACCCTTTGGGGAGCAAACTTTTCTACATCAGCCACCTGATTTTAAAAGCATTTGACTGACCTTCTAGAAAATTCTGGAAGAAGAAAGAAATATATCCCTAGATGTGTTAAATAAAGGGCAATAAAGAATACAGTGTGCAGTTCTTTCAATCTAGGGTGCTCTTCATATACTGAGATGGCCATTTATTGGCCTGTTAAAAGTTTAACTGGTCAGATATTCTGTGGGCGTAGTTTGAAATGCTGAGTAAGCAGATGTCTAGCAGAAAAGAAATAAGCTACCCTGTTTATGACTGGATTTACTTTTAATAATACCAAACAGAAGATTCAGAATTCTTCATACACGTGAAGGCTGTTCCTATGTACCTGTGGTTGTAAAAGGATATGTTTGTTCTCAAGAGGTTTTGTGGGGATAAATAGAAGATGGAATGAATAGTGTTTGATTCCTGCGTCAAATTCAGAGGCTCGCTTCCTCTGATGAACACACACATTCAATCCCTTTGAAAACTTCAGCTCTGAACTTCACATCAGTAATTTTGGTTTTGTTTAATTCACTTTCATCGCTGAAATTGAAGCAGATGCAGGTGGCACATGGTCAACCAAGCAGCCGTTACACAAACAAGTTACATAAAGTTGGCGATGCGCAGGAGGGTGAGCACACTGAAAGGCCGTTGAGGGTACAACTAGACAAGAAGTGCATGCAGATTAGGAAAAACCACAGATTAGGTCCTTCCAGTCTGCCCCTCTCTTTGAGTGGGATTCAATCATATACTGGCAAATTCAGGCCGCGCCATTATATTTGATTGGGCAGGGAAAGCTGTGCAACAAAACACAGATTTCCCCACCACACATGGTAATGGAAAGGATGGGGAGATGCACTGGAAAGTATATGATAACAACTTGC